AGAAGTTTCTCCTCGTGCTGAGGTGGAACTTACTGTGTTCTAACTTAAGCCCGTTATTCCCTGTTCTATTACTGGGCACCACTGACTAGAGATGGTCCCCTGCCCCTGGGCACTCACCCCTCAAGTGTTCGTGTACAGCACGCTGAGCAGAGCTGCAGTAACACGTCCCGGTGCAGGAGGACCTTTTAGTGGCTACAGGCAGGCAATCACCAGTTTACCCTAAACCCTCTGAGGTACTCACAGTGCTGCGTGAGGCAGTGTCGGGGTGGATGGGCAGCCTGCATCTTGGGTTTTTCAGGCTGTCAGTGATTGAATCTTATTACTGGTCTGAGTGCTGGGCTCGTGTGAACACTTTCAATACCAGTCTTTGTAGCTTAGTATTTGTCCTTTTTTTTCCCCCCTATATAAAAAGACACGATATGAGAGCAACTCACACTCTGAAATAAGCTCATATTTAAAGTAACTCTAATAACACTGATCTAACAAACGTGTTTCCTGTCAAGGCCTGATAAGAGTTTTGCCACGTGACTCTATGTAGCTGATGAATAGGACTGCTAGATCGTGATAGCACAGGTATGTTTTTTTCCGGTAATAAGTAGCTTATTCACAGGTCAGTGTTCAAGCTTTGATAATATTTCAGGCCAAGATTTTCCTGATTCTTCTACAGTTGCCTGACTAAAATAAAAGCTGTAGATTAGAAGAAACAAAGTAAACATTGCTATTTAGTTTATGTGTAGCTTTACCTCGTTTGCAGCTTGGTGACATTTGTCTAGTTTCATGAAGTTCTGTATCTGCCTTTTACAGGCTAGGTAGGAAGACTCAGCTGTTGAATGTTTTGACACTGAAATGCAGATGTATTTCCGATTTAATGCTGGGGGTAACAAAGGTGTTATGACTACTTATTAGGCAGCACCCTTCCTGAACAAGGGGGCTTTGAAACATTCCTCATCTGTCCATTGTTTTGATGAATATCACGTTCTCCTGTGGTATTTAGAAAGAAAATGCATATGCATCTCTGTAGCATAGACAAGGAAATGTAGTATTAGAAGGCCACTGAATCATTGTGTCCAAAGCTTCAAAACTGTAGGAGGCTGTGTGGTAGGTGTTTTCTGGAACACTTGCTGCCATAGTCTGAGTAATTGCCCAGTGAGTTATTTAAACTTGCTCTGTAACAAAAGCTGCCAAGTCACATCTGTAATATCACAGGAAAAAGCAATAGAAGAGTAAAGTATATTCAAAATATGCAAATATTTTTAAATAAAATGCAATTTTTAAAGGTTATTTTGAAATTTACTGATCTATCAACACTGAATCAATTTACTTTCATTTTCTATGGCAAATTTTCACTGTCTAGATTGAGATGAACAAAAGTTAATAAACTGGATTAATAAATTAAAGTACTGCTTTTTAGCCATTTTTTTTCAGTCATTTTACAGATCCACAATAAGCTTATACTCTAACATGTCTTCTAATTTTCTAGTGTCCCCTTAATAGCTAGAACTATCTGGTCTTTGGAATGTTTATAAAATCTTGTCTTACAATAAGCTACATTATTATCTTTATGATAGCAATTATTTGTCAGGTTCTGCAGAAATAACCATGAAGTTTAAGTTACTCTTGCAGTTAAGCACTTGTTTTAAATGGACACTATAATGGAGAAATGGATGTGGAACAATGTATATTTTTATTATTTTTTTAAAAAATTTGTTCTTCCTGGTCAGATTTTTTTTTTTTAGCAAGGTTGTGGTATATGTGTACAGCTTTTCCCTGGTAAACAGTTGCTCTTCAACGAAAAAAGAGTGGCTGTTCTTGTTTCACAGTGATGTGAACCTTTCTGCAGACCTTCTTCCCAGTTATAGGAAACTTGCTAAAGAGAAAGCTTTTTCCTTAAAGAAATTGATTTTGTCTCAAATTGATTTGTCTTCTAAGGGTCTTCAAAAGCTCTTCTTTATGTAATCAGGGAGCAAAAACTTTTCTTTTGTTGTCTTGCAGGATGGAACCGACTTTGGGTAATACAAAAATTTTCAGACCATCCTATATTGCTAGTGTTGAGCCACCTCAAAGAATAGAACCAGTAAGTGTGGAAGATATCAAAGCAGATCTTTCTGCTGATTTTTCTTCGGTTTCTTCAAGCTCAGACACAAGCCAGGTAAGAAAGCTTTTGCATTGTTTGGCTATTTAATTATTTTTTTAAAATATATATCTTAGTCCTTTCATTGATATGAGTAATCAGAATTTCACAGAAAAGATGGAAAGCATCTTTATTTTTAATTTGGAGGGCATGTGTAGGATCAGATTTAAGCTGTGTGGCACTTGCTCTGTGAATGAGGCTAGTTGCCAGTTCAGGGTAGGTTAGTCACAGAATGTTTTTGTGTACTTAGTTCTTGTTCTCTAGTTGGCCTGGGTGTAGTGGATATATATGTGTCACAAGATCATTAACTCTTAAGTTATCACTGTGAATTTCTGCAGGTGCCTAAGCACTTGTAAAAACTGATGCAGTGAATTACTTTATTTGATGGCATAGGAAGAAAAAGTAAATCTGTTCAAAATAGCCTGATGATAATAAAGCTGGCTTAATGTGCTAGCCATTAAGCAAAGTATCTAGTCAAATTTCTAACTTCCTTTTTTTTGTTTGTTTGCTTTAAATTTCAAGAGGAGCAGTTGGGAAGTGAAGGGACACATACAGGTTTGTCTGCGTGTTAGGCCGTTTACATCCTTGGAAAGAGAGAATGAATCACAGGTGTGACATTTAGTTTAAAAATTCTTTAAGTATTCCCTTGCCCTTTTCCCCTCACTATAAGCTGAGGTCTGTATACCCTTTTCATGCCTGCATTGCTTTTGCTTGCTTAATAGGACTGTGTTTCAATTGAAAGCCCAACAAGCATTGTACTGAAGCCTCCTAAAACCTCTTTGGGTCGACTAAGCGAAAAAACTGCTGGACAGATGATGCAGAAGTTCACTTTTTCCCAAGTAAATATTTTGTTTTCAAGTGTTTAATTTATTCCTGGAAAAAGTTGTTTAACTTGTATTATTCATTACCAAGCAAATGAGCTTTTTAAACTGTCAATGGTCTTTAGGATTATAAACATACAGAATTTCAAAGATACTTTAAAAGTCTCTAATGATTGCTTAAACAAAATAAAGATGTTTCTTGGAAATGCTCAGGTGTTTGGACCAGAAACAACTCAAGAAGAATTCTTTGAAGGTACCATGAAGCAACCGTTACAAGATTTCTTAGATGGATATAACCGTCTTATTTTTACATATGGAGTTACAAATGCTGGGAAAACCTACACGTTCCAAGGTATAACTAGAAATACGTTCTCCTTGAATGGACTTCTTTCTTTTTTCTTAAGTAAAGATGACTTCTAGCAGAAATATTATAATTATTATTTAATTTGTAGGCTGTATACATTGGCTTCTCTTGAATATTAATAAATAGCCTTTGAAAGTCTCCTTCCATAACAAATATCATTAAACTGCCAGCAGGCAGAGTTACTGCCTGTTTAAATAAACATAGCGATATTGCTTGGTAAGGCTCTAATAATTTCAGTTGTGTGTGTGACTTTTTTCTCCTCAAGTATCTAGAATGTGAGGGGGGAGTTTGGAAAATGCATCTTCTATATATCAGGATGTAAAAAGGGCGTAAATTATTCTAAGCAAGAGTAGCATTTTCTGCTATTATTGTTAAGGTCATATGCGTGTTAGATGTGCTGTCTTCAAACCAGAAATAATATTTGAGTCTTTCAATTATTATAGTCAAAGAATAAACATTTTTTTTGAAATGCGTCATTGCTTCCAAATACATCTGTCTTGTTTCAAGTTTCTGAGTTTATCAACAATATTCTAGGAGACCTTGTCTCCTGATGCACTATTTCTATACTGTTGAAGCTTAATATGCTTTCTGGTCAGAACATGTCATTCTTTATTTTTCAAAGCATTTCAAAAAGAGTTGATTTGATTCACATGGAAACTATTTCTCCTATGATGAAATGACAGTTGTACATGCTTATTTCATACACAGAAGTTGAAGGGCAGTGAGTTTTGTGCCATATGCAATTGATCTTTATTGAAGTGACAGTATCTTTTAAGTGATCTTCTCTTAGGCAGATTATAGTAAAGACTGCTGCCAGTACTTTGTTTTAATTAATCTGTTGCCATAGTGGGATGCTCTTTCTGTTCCTCATAAATGATAGGTAAATAAGAAAAAACAAAATTCCTGAAGCGTACAGCTCTCTATGCTTGACTAGTTTGGAATATATAGTGTGGTGTGGGTTTTTTCAAGTTTTTTTTTTATTTGGGGTTTTTCAGAC